TGGGCAGCGGGGCAGGTGGCTGTCCAGAGCGATGCAGTTGCTTTTTAACCCACATGGACCCACTGCAACTGGGCATTATGGATGTCACACATTTGCAGCTTTGCCATCTATTGCGTGAAGAGCACTTCTGCCCAGTCTCAACTACAAATTACTGACTGCATTTGAAGCCCATCAGTGGATGGAGAACAACCATGCCCTGTCTCACCCAGCCACGAGCACTTTCTGCACCATTTGGGATCCTCACATGCCCGTGACAGCTCTCCTCAGCTGGCTCGTGTCCAGCTTGTAACCTGGGGATTCCTGTAGAAAAACTGCTGCACAGCTTTGGTAATCCTTGTTCTCCTCTGTGTGCCTTTCCCAGCACTCCAAAATGTCACCAGTGACCTCCCCACAGTACAACAAGTAACCCAGTTTATTTCTAAGCTGCTTTGTAACTTTTGCCTTACTATTCGCCCCTGTAATAACACCGACTTCCAGCACGGTTGCATAATTTCTCTAGAAGCCATGCGTGTGCAGCCTTCTGCAATTCCAGGTGTGAATGCATTCATGCCTCCCTCACCTTTGTCACTGACTCTTTCAGAGGGAAACTCCAAGAGACTTCAGAAGCAAGATTTGACTCTTCTCCAGACTACATCCACGTCCAACAGCAGTTCTGATTTTGTAAAATACTTCCCACCACTTTTCCTGGCACAGATGCCAGATTTAATGGGCAAGAGTTCTTACACGTCCTCTAGACTCAAAAACACCACTGCAACAAGAAGGGTGGATTGTGTCGTGCCAGCTACATTTGTCTGGTACCACAGTAATTTGAAGCAGAACAGTTGCACACCGTGCTTGGCAGAAGCAACATTTCATCCACTGACATATCTTAAAACTCCTGGGTGAGCTTCTATTACCAGCTCTCAATATCCACCCATCTGGCAAGCCTGCACTGTAAACTCTGTGGAGAGCACTTCCAGTTCCAGTGACTTTTAATAGTTCTGGCTAAAGGAAAATTTATTTATGAAAAGGAAGCATAAGATGTATTTCCCTTGTAAAAAAGACTGTAGAGTAACTGAAGCAGTTCTGTTTGCTGTTTTCTTACTTTTTTTTTTTTTTTTTTTTTTTTTTTTAAACTCATGCATGTGCTTTCACACCTTGCAGGACAAAATAGGAAAGTGAAAGGATGCCAAAACAGAATTATGGGTTTCACCAACATGTAAGCTCGGGTACCTTCCCAGAAGATAGTAAATTTAAACAATTCCCACACCACTCAGTAGCAACACCCACTATTAAGAGGCAGAAGTGACAACAAGATTTATTACTCACTCAAATGCTGTCTATCTTTTTAATAAATACACACATCTGAAAAAATTACCTGGAAAGGTCATTTTAAAAACCTGACCAATGTACCAGGAAAACTATGACATAGTGGCTACCACGGAAACATGGTGGGATGCCTCGCATGACTGGAGTGCCACAATTGAAGGCTACAAACTCTTCAGGAAGGATAGACAGGAAAGGAGAGGTGGCAGAGTGGCTGTGTATGTCAGAGAATGCTATGAGAGCTCAGAAATTAAGTATAGTGATAACAGGGTCGAGAGTGTTTGGATTAGGATAAGGGTAAATAAAGGTGATATCGCTGTGGGAGTCTGCTATAGACCTCCCAACCAAAGCAGTGAGGTGGACGAAGCCTTCTATGAGCAACTGGGAGAAATATCGCAGTCGTTTGGCATTGTTCTTGTGGGGGACTTTAACCTCCTCGATATCTGCTGGGAATATTACACGGCAGACAGGGAACAATCCAGGAGGTTCCTGGAATGTGTGGAAGATAACTTCCTCATGCAGCTGATAAGTGAGCCGACCAGGGAAAGTGCCCTCCTAGACCTGCTCCTTGTGAACAGTGAAGAACTTGTGGGGGAAGTAAAGGTTGGAGGCCGTCTAGGGCACAGTGATCATGAGATGA